TTGCATACGAGGTTTCGCATAAAGTATGAGTCATTACAAGGCAATAAGAATTCATTTTTGGTATTTCATGACGAAAATAGCTGAAGCCTAGTAAGTGTTCTTGATAAAGAGCTTAACGTTTGGAAGAAGAATATTGATGCGTTGGGTTGCTTCTCATATAAGAAATCTTTTTTTCGTTTATTTTATAATATACTTATGCTTTAAATAAAGTAAATACTCAGCTTGGGATTGTTGTTATCATTGGCGAATATGTATTTAATAGTTTCTACTTTTTGCCCGACTGTAACGTTCAGTACCTTCTTCAACTTTAGCAAGTGCAGGAGTTGATTATATCATTTTTTGTTCTTATTATCATAATTAACAATATTTATAGGAGGCTAGAGGGGCTTAGAATGAGTTTAATTTCAAAAAAAATTTATTATTTTATCGACTTTATCGTCAATTAACTTTCTTCTTTTAAGTAATGTAGTTAAATATTATCGTCCGTTGCTTAGCGGAGCATCTGCTGTCTGTATTAAGTAATGTGTGAACAAGCCCTAAATTAAAAGTGTACCTTTTTAGTCGTCCTTTGCTTTAGCAAAAAAACCAAAAAAAAACCAAAACCAAAATAAACAAAAAAGTGAAAAAAAGATTAAAAAGAAAAGAAAATTCTTTTTTATTCGCCTATGATTATATTTAACTGATAGACAGACAGACAAACGAAAGATAGACAATCAATGTGGCTGGTTTGGCCGTACGCCCAAGGCATTTCAAGCGTTACGGCGCACGCGCAACTTTAGATATTAATTTAAATGCAAGCAGTCAAACAACCACAATCATTTTACATCCCATGCAAACATATTCATATATACAAACATGTATATATATATATATATACCTAGATAAATGCCCACTTCTTGCATATACAATAAGCGCTTGTATAAGCCAACAAACTACGTACGTGTGTATTATTTATTCGTGTATATTTGTGTATGTAACAACAGTGCGTAGGCGAACTCGATTGTGACAGTTAACTAACGACTGCACATTGCATATGTATTGTATTCGTTGCTTGGTTTCTTTCCATCTCTCGGCGCTGAGAAACTGGGCGATTGTGTATATCTTTCATCGATATCGGGAGAGCAACGCAGAGAATGCATGCTAAACTTGTAAATATATATTTCCCTTTTTTTTTTTTTTCCTTTGGAAATTTTATTGCTTTTCTTTAAATTATTCCATGTAAAATCGAGTATTGAGTGAATATTCGACCGACCAGTCGTCGTTAATTTCTATCTTTCGTATAAAAAATTGTGTGAGAAAGTTGTAAACATACTAAGCATGCCTACATAATATACGTACGTACAGATAATATCTATACTGGCGATTACAATAACAATAATGCTGCTGTGATGATAAGCTACGCTAGCTGGAGTTCGTATTGTAAGCGAAAGCAACGGAAATTCCATGCATTCGTTGGAACAAATGTGTTTACAGTGAGTTACCTGCGATCGCAATGATTATGATTATGATGATGCCGGTGATGATGATGATGATGACGATGATGATGACGATGATGATAGCGACGACGATGATCGGTGATAATCTCTGCTATAAAATCATGATTGCATATCTATCGAAGCGTAACATATTCCGTGTGAACTTCAACTACAGAGCAAAAATCTCTTTCATATACAAAGTGATTCGCTTATTCATCTACATACATACATATGAGTGCTTATTGCCATTGCATGTGCTTATTGACAAATTTACTTATTTTATCCTTTTATAAATTGAGTTGGTGTTTGGAAAATTATGTTTACTTAAAAATTTTATGTTGTTTGCGTTGTTGTTTGTTGTGTTATATTGTGTTGTATTGTGTTGTGTTTTGTCTGCGGTTTAAAAATCTTTAATCTCCGCGGTTCGTTGTGTCAGTTTCTTTGATGTGATTAGTTGACTGCCTGTCTGCCAGGCATTTATTGCCTTTCTTCCTTTATTTTTTTTTTTTTTATATTTTTCTTCAAGTCAGAGCAACGGCCCACTCATATTGAAAGATTTTTGGTTTAATAAGATTTCCTCGTAAATTGTATACATGTGACCGTTCGATCAAGTAAGTAAATTACAATAAGAGAGTTATGTTTAATAAATCGTTTTTTGTTAAATACTTTCCATGCACGTGTACATACATATCCAGCAATACGAAAAACTTCGTCGTACGTACGCAATGTATATGTACTTTTTATGTGTACACCCAGATGCAAGTGCTCAAAACGTGCGTAAAAGCTCATTAATAAACACTATATTATAAGTCAACGAATCTTTCTTTCACGGCTATCGCAGACGTGAAAAGTGAATATTCATAACGTACTCTGTCTGCCATTTCGTTACATATCAGAAATTCTCTTGAATAATCTTAAAAGGTATTATATATATACTGTAGAGGGGCGAATAATCTTAGTACAAGGTGTTTATCCCCATCTGTCGAACAATAACTGAAATGTGCTTGGAACATGAAGTGCAAGCGATCCATTCGAGACACAAAAACATGCTAATTGTGCAGCCAAAATATTGTAGTGTGTAGCGTGACAGAGGAATCCTTGTGAACACAATGCCTGTGCATATTGTTTCTTAACCGCTGTAACAGAGGATTCCCAATGCCTGTCTGTATTGTTGCCCACCTGCTCGGCCGTTTCCGCGGAGACTAGCACTTTTTTAACTGGCAAAGTAAATCCGGCAAAGAGCGTCGCTCTCTAATTAAAGAATACAGTTATTAACTTTTTGGAACTTCGTACAAGTTCTTATATACAGTTAAAGTGCGGTATCAGCTATCGAACTCAGACTGGGAGGCAGCATTTATTGCAGTCGCTTAACGCTTAACTTGATAATGGTAACACCTTATAAGCCGCCTAGTTTGGCTATCAGCCTGCACGTAGGACATTGTTAGATCTTCCTCACTAAATGGATTACGGATTATCATAAATATAGAAGGTGTTGGGTTCTGGTCTCTCTTAGCTTAACAAACGCACTGGATAGAGTCTCAACAAATCCTCTCTCTCTCTCTCTCTCTCTCTCTCTCTCTGAACATTCCAGTCCTGCAGCAGTGCTTGTAAGCTTATGTGGTCACATATCTCAGATGGAAAACATTTGGTTTCAGTTCATGCTTTCTATTTTCCTTTGGTGAAAATAGGTCCAGCGCTCCAAGGTTGCGTTTTGGGCTCCCAGTTGCTTAATCTCTGCCTCTCTTTGTCCCTTAGGGGGATAATATTTTTCTGCTTTATAATGGCAATGCAATTGACTTGCATACCTTTGACTTCTCCTCGGCTTCTATATTAAAATATCTGAATATTCTATTGACGTAGTGGACTCAATGCAACGCCTTGTGCCTCCACATGGACAATAATTTGTCTCAAGCCACAACAATTGTTCAATTTGAATCTTCATTTGGTTCTTCGTATTGCGCATTCTCTTCTTAAATCGCTTGCTAACTATTTTATTGAACTTTTTCCGATGGCTTATGTAATTGGAATAGGTGTTACTCTATTGCCGATCATAATGTCGAGCTTAGAGAGCTTATTTACTCTTTCCTTCATCCTTCTTCAATATTCTCTGTCCTTGATGAACTTGCGTTTCGATTGCTAATCTATTCTACAAAATCAGTCGATCTCTGTCGCTCAATTTCTTAGTAGAGTGCTTACAGTTTTCAAGATAAAGCAGGAACCATTTTGAATGAATCCCGCATATGATGCTATCTTTTCCTCTGGAAGAGCATTTATTGTGTGTGTAGCTCGAAATTGTAACGCGTTAACCCTGGTTTTGAAATTCCCTGAATTCCTTTAACCCTTTAGAAGGAAATTGACCAGGGTGTGACACATGAATTTGTCTTGTTGTTGACACGAATATTATGATGTAAGATGATTACGTCAGTAGTAAAATTCATCTATTCACCGAATCTCAATGGAATGATAGAATGGTAATTCCAATACTTAACATTAATGTAAAAGTTGTTGCGCACGAGCTACGAAAAAAAGTCGTGCTTGAGAACTCATTGTAGTCTAGGCAATTAGGAAAAGAGGAAAGTGGAAAAGTGTTCACAATCTCCTGGAAGTTAACTGAAAAATGATATGCCTCCAAGTAAACAAAGGTCGCGCTTTTTGTTCGCGTTTTAGGATTTACTTATGACCTGCTACATACGGAAATCTGTAAGAGAGTTTTGCAGAAGAAATACTTGCATCAATTAATAGAATTTTTTCTTTTAAACTCTGCAATGCTTTTTCTGCCAAACAGTTACTTAACTTGTAGCGTTTGTTAGTACATTAAATATCATATATTAATATGTATTGAATGTATCGCAGCATTCGACGCAGTCTACATTGTTATGCGTGGTGCACAATGCATTGAAGATTAGAAAGAATTGTCCTGATTGTTAATATTTATTCTATTCTATGGAAAAAGTCCTTAAAGCTTATATTCCTTCAGCTTTAACAAATAAAATAAGAGAGAAAAGATCAGTTGAGGGAATGTGTGTGATTTTTTCGTACCAACTTAACTAAAGCTGCCAATCGTTTCTAATGTCTATCCTTGATGGTTAAAAATGTTTAAAACGAGCTCGATTTGCCACCCCAATGTAGACAAAACCATGCAGCCTTTAATTACAGCTAACTGCTGCTGTTCACGGCTATTCAAATGCACAAATCTATAGCTCGATTGCTACAGCAGATGTTGATCTAAATCTGATGACAATTATAGTATGTATGAGACAGTTATGCAAAGCATTGCTGCAAAAATGGTCTAGCAGGCCAAAAACTTTGTCGACAATGAAAAAAACTTTTTTTTTGTCATATCTGTATATTATTTTGACGCGATTTCTACCAAATTAAGAAATTTGGTACACTTTTGGCTCGCGTATAATATGGGGGATGGGAGAACTTGGTGATTAGATAGTAGAAAATAATAATTTCTTTCAAAACAATGCAATGACCGCCTCCTTCTATATTTTTTTTTTGTGTATTTTTTTATTATAATAGAGGTGTACCATGCCATGATACCATGACTGGTGCCCAATGTGATCCCTGTCCTATGGGCTATGAAGGTGATGGACGTAGCTGCATAAAACGTAATCCCTGTCTTGATGGTCCATGTCCTTCGGGTAAGTTAAAGCGTTTCTAGTCATTTTATCTCAGCATGAGTCGTTCTTCAGCTTAAACAAATAAACATTGATTTTGTTTTACTACTTATACGCTTTGAATTGAGTTTATCTTTATCCACATGTGAATATATTTGCTGCTCTATAGTCATTCTTTTGTTTTTCTTTTTTAATAAAAGGTAACATTTTAATGCCTACCCATAATATACAACATTACCAGAGGCAATATACGGCCCGCAAATATTCTGTCATGTCATCATAGATATAATTTTTTCTTTTACCAAAATCACAAGAGAATCCCCCGCTTGATTGAAAAAAAAAAAAAACTTTTATAAAAACGAGAGATTTTTTAAATTAACTACCAATAACCGTAGAGTTTAGTTACATTACATTAAATTATTATTATTAGGTTGTTTAAGTTTAAATGTAAGTCAATTCTTTTCTAACAATTTATTACTTTACCATATTTTCTATGCTATATTTTATACATATATGATGTAGAAATGCTTTTTACAAATATTAATTTGATTACAGAAAAGTATTATTTTATCCAAAATAAAATCATAAAAAATTCAAAAAATAAATTTATGATATAATCATACGAACAAATAACATTAAAAATTTTGCGATAACTAAGAAAATTGTATTCGTTTGTAAACGAATTTTATATATCCACCACTAAGCATTTGTTTTGATATATTCATAAAGCAGATCACATTGAAAGTATAAGGCGGTTAATTAGCTGGGTGTATTTAACAAGTAATTCAAATAAATCAAGATTACCTAGAGCAAATAAGGGGAACTTTGTGCTATTGTCAATTGCGGGAGCAACAGTAATGGGGCTTTGGAATCATTTTCAAACGAATTAAAAGCATAGCTCAGCTCATAGCTCATTCGTTGAAGCTAACTCGTACGTAACTCACTGTACATATTTTGAGCCTAATAATGAGAAAACAACAATTTGTCACAAAAATTTGCTTTATTTTATTTCAAAACGTTCCCCTTTATAATCTACAGTCTTGGCAGAACATTCGAAAAGTTTTTCCACTCCGCTTGAGACAGTTTCAAAACACGGTTGTTGAGCGCATCAAAGGCTTCTTTGCCCTATATGTGATGTCGGCTAGAGTAACGCCATTGCATTTTCATTCAACTCAGTTGATTGCCTTTCATTTTCTCCCTTATTCGCCTAAAAATCATGACTCGTTGCTTGTTACAGTCTTAAGTGTCATCTCTTTTGAAGCACCGCGATTGTATTTCCATCCAACGAGATACAACGAAAACAATCCCTTTTTCACGGTTAATGATCATGCCATAATCTCTATATGTCAACACCCTGTCACACGTCCATCCATCAACATCAGTTGATGCTGTTTTTTGGCATAACAACTGATTTGAGTCGGCCTTCACGAGTAAGCTTTCGATGGCCACAGTGAGTTAGTTGGACCGGCTCTTCGCAATAGCAAGGCATGGTACTTTATTGCCAAAATTGAAAGTAAGTCAATCGATGTATCCTTGTCTTGATAATCCACATTAAAAGTCGTCAGAAATCATTGCACGAATTTTTTCTATTCTTCTCCTTCTTCTATACTTCTTTTCTATTTCTTCTTTGAAGCGAAAGTTTCAGTACCACAAACCGCGCTCCAATGGCAAAATCTTATGAAGAAAATTATCTTTAAATATGTTAAACTTTCCAGTTGAAAAACCTACCAAGAGTTAGGGATTGCTAAGAGACTCAAATAATGTAAACAGTGATCTACATACACATTTATGAAAGTGTAATAAAACTTTTTTCCTAATATCGCTTCAATCAATTTAATCGCCGTTGCGGAGTTTATTAAATGAAGGGAAAAGTTGTCGGCCTTTAAAGGTGCTTGTTGCAAGTCTATAAGAAGTTAATATGTTGAGATAAGAACACTACATTAATTTTTTTTTTAGTTTTCTAGTACTACGAGGAAAAAGTGTGAACATAGGAACAAGGCTTAATCGATGCGCAGTCTCGAGTTGACCTTTATAAGTTTCTATAATGTCTTAATTTAATATAAGAAGAAGAATATGCAAAAAGTTACAAAATTTAGATGGTGGGTATAACGAGTGAACTTAATTGTTTATGTATATGTGTGCTAATGTGTATATAAAAAAATATATTGTAAAAATCCTAAAAGCTTTAGTGATTACAATGAAAAAAAAAAAAAGAAGAAAATATTTCCTTGAAACATGTTTATTAAATTAACTATATTTATATAGCGTTTAAGCCACACCAGAAAGTGGAGATTATATGAAAAGAATAAAACTTTATCGTACATCTGTTAAACTAAAAAAAAAAAAAAAACAAAAAATTCTAAAATATTTTATGCAATAAAGTATAAATTCAATCTAAACCATAAGAAAAAAAAAAAAAAAAGCGTTTCAATTGCATTTGCGTTGTTTTCAGTACATAAAGGCGGGTAATTATTTTTTCAAACTTATTTTATTACACCATCTTATATAACATTTGGTTGGGTCATCATTCACATTCTTTTATATATATTTTCCATTTTCTGGTAAAAACAATGCACCAAAATATCAAAACGCACTTTTCTATTAACAATGTCATGCTATTTTTGCTAACCAACAATTTTTTAAAGTAACATCCGTAATAACATTCACTACGATTCGCTTCATATTATTATTCAATGCATGTTTATCGGTCATTTACCATAGACTCGATAACTTAATTCCGTTTGTTGTTCTCTTCTAAAATTCTATTACGACAGGAGCCGAGTGTGTGGAAATGGATTTTTCTCCGTATTTTGAATGCATATCTTGTAGCCGTAGCGAACAACGTAATGGTACCGAGTGCGTGGATATAGATGAGTGCGAGCTCTACAGACCTTGCGATGCCCGAACAACTTGCGTAAATCAAAGTCCTGGATTTCGTTGTGAACCATGTCCTTTGGGCTTTGATGGCAATCATATTTACGGTAAATAAGTTAAATTTAGATTCACATTAACGCCTAAATAATATGATGGATTAAATGAATATATTTATTGCATTTAGGTTATTATGCCGAATACTGGACGCCGAGCTATCAAAAACAAACTTGTTATGATGTAGATGAATGTGAAAGCGGTATCGCTCGTTGTTGGGCGAATTCTCTATGCTTGAACACAATTGTAAGTGAAGTTGATAGAATAATAGGTAGACATAGTGTCTTCCCTTTTATATCTATTTTGAATTTCTTCTTTCATTAAGGGGTCTTATCGGTGCAATTGTCGTGAAGGTTACACTGCGAACGGTACTTCACAATGTGTTCCCTTAGCAGATATGTGTCCCGACGGTACAATCTGCGATAGCAATGCCGCCTGTGTATCTAGCGGTAACAATAAATATCATTGTAAATGCAGTGTGGGTTGGGCAGGCAATGGTTTCCTTTGTGGTCGCGACCACGATTTAGATGATTGGCCTGATAATCAATTAACTTGTTCCGATTTGCATTGTCGCCGCGACAATTGCCCAGATATTCCCAATTCGGGACAAGAAGATGGCGATAATGATGGTATTGGTGACAATTGTGACGATGACGCTGATGGCGATTTAATCTTAAACGACAAAGACAATTGTCCTTTCGTTTACAATAACGATCAATTAGATTCGGATCATGACGGTGTCGGTGATGCTTGCGATAACTGCCCGCTTATATCAAATCGTAAGCAACTGGACAATGATGGCGATGGTACAGGAAATGCATGCGATGACGACAGCGACAATGATACGGTAATCAATGATTATGACAATTGTAAGCTTATTGCCAATCCAAACCAGTCGGACATTGATAATGACGGCGTTGGAGATGTATGCGATAACTGTCCGAGCATTTCGAATCCCTCTCAAGAGGATCGCGATAACGATTTATTAGGTGATGCTTGCGACAGTGAAATTGACGGGGATAACGATGGCATACAAGATAGCGAAGACAATTGTCCTATGGTTAGCAATGCTGATCAATTGGATACCGATAGGGATGGCAAGTAAGTTTTGCGCCTTGGAATTGCTGTGATTCAAGCGCTTAGGGTTATTTCTTCTAACTTTTTAACACAAAAAGGGGCGACGCTTGTGATGATGATATGGATGGTGATGGTGTACCCAACTATAGAGATAATTGTCCTTTGGCAAATAACCCCAACCAAGCGGACTTGAATAGTAAATTTCTTAAACTGTTTTGAAAAACTTTGAAGAATTTTGCAAAATTTTTCCTTTTTAGAAAACGGGAAGGGAGATATTTGTGAATATGATGAAGATGCTGATGGAATACCAAATGCTTTAGATAATTGCCCAAATAATTCCATGATATATTCCACTGATTTTCGAGATTTACGACCGGTGTTATTGGATCCTGTAGGTGAAGCACAGCGGGATCCAAATTGGGAAGTACACGCTAATGGCTCCGAAATTATTCAAACGTTAAATAGCGACCCTGGACTGGTCGTCGGACACGATGCATTCAGTGGCGTAGACTTTGAGGGTACATTTTACGTCAATGACGAGTCTGACGACGATTACGTTGGTTTTATATTCAGCTATCAAAGCAATCGCAAATTTTATGTAGTTATGTGGAAAAAAAATTCTCAAACGTATTGGCATTCGAATCCGTTCCGGGCATCTGGTGAGCCAGGTATACAAATCAAATTAGTAGATAGCGTTTCCGGGCCCGGACCGAAATTACGGAATAGCTTGTGGCACACTGGTGACACTAAAGGTGAAGTAAAACTTCTATGGAAAGATCCGCTGAATATCGGCTGGAGAGAAAAGACGTCTTATCGATGGTCACTGGTACATCGACCAGCTATTGGTCTCATCAGATTGCGCATGTTTGAATCCGATAAACTCATCCTAGACTCGCATAATATATATGACTCCACGTTAAAAGGTGGACGTTTAGGTGCCTTTTGTTTTTCACAAGAAATGATTATATGGTCGGATTTGGCATATAAATGCAATAGTAAGTGGGATGATATTTTTCGAAAAAAAGAACTCTGCTTAATATCAAGTATTCCTTTTTTTCCCCCCCTTCTTTATATTTAGCTCGCGTGCCTGCCTTGATCTTCAATGACCTGCCGAATCATTTAAAACAAAAAGTTGAAATTGATAGATAAATTTTCGTCTGGAGAGACAAAAAAAAAAAAAAAAAATTGCATATGTGTTTTTGTTCGTTGTTTTTATTTTAAACTAATACCTAATGCTGTAGTGCTGTAAATTAAGATAAGACATAAGGTACCTTATAGTAACAAAAGTAAAGCATGCTCTTGTGCATTTTCATATTTATCCAAGCATCTTATTGTCATAATAAAGAATACAAAAATTTTGTTGTAAATTCATTTAAATATTTCTTGCATACGATTTACTAATACCATTGCAAAATGTCAATTTTGCGTTTTACAAATTTTACAAATACATCTTAAATCTATCGTCTCCCGGGAGCAGACGGTATAGATATTCTTGCAAAAATTGTGTCACATCTTTTCGCTGCGACCTCTTGTAAAAAGAGTTTAACGTAAATCCAAATGCTTTGTTTTGCCACGACTAAGAGGTGTCGTAAAATCAAATCAATTGAAAACCTTGGAATTTCTTGTACGCTCTATTTGCCACAACTAAGATTCTTTTTCTTCATAATTTGCACACAGCGACTGCGGGAGAAATTTAGAATAGTGTTTTCAAATACTAGTCACGATTTTTTCACATACTATCGTCGATTTGGTCAAGTCATTCTCAATATCATCACCATGTCCGTTGGACAGATGCAAAGGTTTAGTTACCATCACACATTATCCCCGCTTTACAACGGTTGTAATTTGAGGTAACTTATTATTTGGATTTCCCATCGCGGATGATGGTAGAGGAGCTTTTCTAATGGTCACTGTAATATCGCCACCACTGTGGAGAAAGCAATTCTCACATGTATACTCCTTGCCTTGAAGAGCATAATTGCTGCTATTTGGTATCAGATCTAGAAATTAACGATGATAGTGGCACAAACATTTCATGCATTGTAGAAGCGGTACTAGTCCTCGTGCCTTCAAACGGCTTAACGAACATGATTCCTGGGCCTCAGTGGAGCTTGTAAATTTGTAAATTTGTAATTGACAAGTTCATACACATATTCAACGTAGAAGTATATATTTATATATGATACAAAAATTACCAACCTGATCGATATATAACGATTCTTTCTTGCTTTTAACAAACAAACAATTGAATTGAAGCACGTATCCCGTCAGTAAGAAAACATTCATAGGGAGAGAGAGAGAGAGAGAGAGAGAGAGAGAGAGAGAGAGAGAGAGAG